GAGAGTATCTTGTTAATAATTCCTAACCAACTTCGCATTTTGCGACAAGAAAGTATTACTGTTGAAGAAAGTGTACGTCATAGAGTGTGGCCAATGAAGAACAGCAGAAATGCCCCTGCCTCAAAGAACTGGCAACGCATGCAGTGTGCAGCACCATTCTTAAGAAGCAATTCGTTGTTTTCCAATTTTCAATCGCCATGGTGACTTTTGGGAAGTGTTTGGAATGAAAGGATATAAAAGCGAAAAGGTAAATGTAATAATCCTTGCAGAACTTATACAACTTCATTGAATGCTGATACAAAATCCTTGACTGTTTCTCTCCATATACATATGCACTAAGTTGTAGTTGTATAAGCACTAAGAAGATGGGATAGAGTGTAGAAGAACAAGAACCTTATATATTGTAAGGGAGATGCAGAAATTTCCTCAAAACGCCGAGAAAAACCGATTAATAGAAGGGAAATAACAAGAAAGGGAACGGGGCCACATGAGAACTGGTGGAGTGGCCGTTGTGACAGCTACAGGTGCCGTAGCGAGCGCAGCGAAAACGTAGGCGTTGTCTATTCCACGAAGCGCGGAACTAGGCATCGTCGCTAAAGAGTTATTAATATGTGTAGGCATGAAATTAGCGCCAATATGGAAAAATTTTAATTGTTCGTTATTCTTTGAAACAGTGCTTAGGCAGAAAATATTCGGATACGTTGTAGAACGTTTAAAGCTTCCATCTAGAGACACAAAAAGGAGTAAAGGAGACAAATAAAAAAGAAAATACACAGACGCCGTATTTCCTGTTGTCAGTTATTACGAACACCCAGCATGTAATAGCATAAGCTTCATTGTCAGCAGCAACCACAAGCAATGCGCTCGACACCAGCGTCTTGCTGCTTCTTGAGAAATAGGACTCCTCCATCGCGAGTACGCGAAAACTGAAGAAGCCCTTGACAATCATCTGCTATCCACTGAGAACCACGTGTACGCACTTGTTCATCGCAGACGTATGGCTTGCTAGGTTAGACAACATTGTCGGTTCTGCAGTCGTTGCTGTTGCGCGCTCAAAGAGAGAGGCTCCTGAACGAATTCGTGGTCGACCGAAGTGTCTGGTGATTGCCACACCAATGTGTATCAATCCCTCCGACGGGCTTGTGGCAACAATCGTCAACTCAGCCGAGACGCAGCCGATGCCCGAGTAGGACTACTGATCTATTGGTGATACCGGTACAATCCCACTGAGCTCTGAACTTCTCTTGATCATAGAGCCGGTGGATCCAAGCATCTAGGCAAATCAACATCGCCTACTGAGTGCTATTGTGAGGAAAGCGGACAGTACTAGCTTATTGTTTTTGCCACGACAATGCCTAGCGCCTAGTACAATTGATTTCGAAAGCTGGTCAGCGGCTAGGCACTCTGTTCTGTGCATGAGACATCTGATTTTCACACTAAACCCTGAGAAATCCGTTCCCGGGAGGAATCTTAATATTTTTGGTGGATTAGGCCAGGATTCGAGCATTTTTCGACTCGCATTAGAATCTGAGCAAAAGCAACCATTTTGCCTGAACACAAGGCCTCAGTTGATAACTTGATGTGGCGATTACGTCGTTTATTAGTGCCGTCGGAGAAATAAATCTAAAGAATGAAAAAGTTAAGTAGTATTTCAGTTTCTTTACAACGTATACCAGCAATCTTTGTACTCGACTTTTACTTCACCTTGACCAGCAATTGAAATTTATTCCTTGCACAAGATTGAGCGATTTGTACTTAGTTGGATGGCCTGTCTTCAATGATTGTGCGGGATTCAGCATAATTACCATTTTTTTTTGGAGTTCTGCTGGTCTAGTCACAGTGGTTCCCTAGAAGTTCCGAGGTCAGTCTTGGCAAATTTGCCCCAGGTCGTTGTCGCCTTTGTGGATCAGAGCGTGATTTGCCACTACGCGACTAGTTTGGTACCAAGGCGGTGGCGGATCCCGGTATTGATATTGGTTGACTCTTAGCTTGGCTTCCTAACAGAAACGCTGGACTCCTTTCCAGCTTGGAAGACCCTGCTGGAGACTGAATTTCCCCGCTGTACATCGCAGCCGCATGCCCAGGAGCACCTCTCAGCCACGTGAGGCGGTAAACCATTGGGAGGATGCAATTTATAAGGAGCACTAATTTTTAGAACACATTGGATTTCTCAATAATTTTGCAAGGTTATATGAAGTTCGCCCTTACCGTCCTTAAATTCTATCTCTGAAGTATGATACACTAATAAATTCGGCGATTTGTCGAGCACAGTGTGTCGAGCCGTACGTTATTAAACGGTGGGAACACGACCGACAAATAAGGACGGCTTAAAGGGAAAAGTACCGCTACACTAAGTACTGCATCAGCACACAAGTAGTATCGTATTCCTTCCACCGACAAGCCTTCCTTCCCTAAAAATAAGTGGTCTGACTATATTTGACGAAATCCATGGGTTACAAGCTTCAAGCCTCTAATAATTTTGGTCAAGTCCGTATTCCCACAGGTACAGCACGACAACAGTTCACTCTTCATCCTTCATATTTCAATATCGATAGGCATTGTATGGTACAGTGATTCTATTTTTCGCCTTTTCTTGATGCAGATCGGCAAGATACTGTTGTCCTAAGATCCTAATTTCCTACCTATACGCACACCTACCGCAGCCGCATACCCTCTCTGTGTTTAAATTCTGGCTATCTTTTCATGTTGTTCGCGTTATTAAAATTCATCACAATATCACCTATGCTATGAACTTCGACAAGAGATAACGTTCGCTGCAGACTGCTTTTTTTGAATAATTCCCCTCAGCTTCTAAAAGCCTCAGCTTAACTGGGTTCATTGCTGATTTGGGCTCTCCAGATCAATCCCGCTCACGGGTGATTGCTGATGGCAGAAATCGATAGAACTAGCTGAGAGACAGGCGAAACGAAGGATCCGCATGGTGTGGTGGTGAACGCGTTACTCCCGTGAAAGGACAATAACGCGTTCGTTCCCCACCGCAGACACCTGCGGTCCGGAGTTTTGCAAATATCTCACCACCATTGAAGTTGTATTTCGCAATATACCCTGCCATTAAAAAGAGTAGGCAGTAAATAAAAACGATTACGATTGCATTCGCTATGTCAAAAATCCTGTTAGTAACCCATGGCTCTATTACACATTCTGGTCATATACAAAGATATCTCGCAATAATAACTCCACGTTGGTTAACAACTGAACACATACGTGTGTATTCTACCGACCACTGAAATCGTAAACACGACGAGAAATGCAGCTGATTCTAACAAACGCATTGGCGCCGTTGTACTCTTTTGTGTTTTCAAACTACGGTATGTCACCTGAATCATCAGAATTTCAGAACTTGCTACGAATTCGGTTGACGTGGGCAATATATTTCAACAACTATCTTGTCCTCTCCTAACTTTTTTATTAACTGCCTATTTTTTTTAACGGCAGGATATGTTGCGAAGTATAACTACTATACTGCTGAGTTATTTGCAAAACTCTGGACCGCAGGTGTATGCGGTGGGGAACGAACGCGCTATTGCCCTTTCCGGGGAGTAGCGCGTTCACCTCCACACCACGCGGGTCCTTCGTTTCGCCTGTCTCTCAGCTAGTTCTATCGATAGTAGTTATATCTTGTCCTCTGGTGTACTTGCGGCGCAGTGGTCCGAGGTGCCCTGCAACATACACATGGAATCGATCCCGGCGCCCATTGTCCACCAAGCCTTCCATCTCTTCGGTGTCGGGAAATTGGTATCAGACCTGTCTGGGAGGATAGCAGCACTGGCTCCATACATAGGTAGGCGACCGCGAGTCAATGTAAAGGCCAGATATGCATTCAATCGCATCCAAACGATGCTTAATGAAGTTGAATGCATGGCGCATCCTCAGGGATTGATCAACGCCGACAGCTTTATGCTTTACCCTTTTATCTTGCTCTCAGAACATTGAGCCTTATCGGGTGCAATGCCTTGCATATGATTACATTGTCCTAAATGAAAAGAATATCTATGTTGAAAATAGCGTCACTAACATCTCCATCAACAATCCTTCGTGTACTACACAAGGATACAGCACAAGCAAAGAAGTTATCTCCAGATACTAATACTTAGCCTTGTCTGCCAGTTTCACCTTTGTTTTTCAATAAAGATGAACTGAGACGGGCATGACACTCAGTCCTGTGGCTTCAAGTCTTTAGTTTATGTTCCAGAATCATATAAAACACTTAGCACCACAAGTATTCCATACATATAAATCAAAACAGATCCACGATTAATAAGGAATTCCGTGCAACCTCAACTTTTATCGCTTCCAGTTTTGTCTGTTTATTTCGAACCCTTAACTTTGCTGAGGGAAACGTGCAGTTTTAGCAGAAGACTAATGACACGAAAGTATAAATTCTGTTACAGAGTCTCATCTGTCTTTGTTGTAAAAATCTGTTCGGCTAACATTTCGGCGGCCTTGCCTTCTTCAGAACCGAACTGACTCAAGACAAATGCCCACAGCCGTTCATTCGAAGTAATTAACAGAATAAGACAAAATGAACAAAATAGTTAACCAAATTGAAGCATGAATTAGATTAACTAATGGTAAGGAACAAACGTTATACTCACTGTGGATTTTTGTGAAGGACATAGAAACTATACTAAAATATTTCCTTTGTTGCAGTTTACACAACATCCTTATACGACAGTAGTATACTCGATGATATGGTCAATTTCTGGCAAGATGTTATCGGTTGCTGAAACAATCAAAAAAACGGAATACTAATCACATACATCAAGACAGTGATAGACCTGCTTCTAACTGCCGAATATAATTCATTTCTGAGAAAAATATTCCATAATAATTGCAAACAAATTACAAAGTGTTTTCAATCCAGGAAAATCATCTGTACCAAAATATTCGTTGTCGAAGAACACCTCTCACCGCCGAGAAGTGCTTAGCTCAAAAATGATTTTCATCCAGGATTCAGTAAAACCATACCGAATAAGTCATTAATGGCAGGCGTCAGTAGCGAATGTATCGGCTGTCTCGCTTTCTGGATTCCTGAATTTAATAACAGCAAACAGCCAGTGGCCGAAACCAGCGCCTCCAATAACAGCCATTGCTAAAAATATTTCACAAAAAGAAAGCAACATATATAATACAACACATCAAGTATATATATACATACATACATACAGATATGTATATATATTATACATAGATATATACATGTATACATCTATACATGTGCACGCATCCTTCCCAACGGTTTACCGTCCCATTGTGGCTGGGAGGTGTCTGTCCTTCGGTCTCGGACTGCGATGTACAGCAGTGGGATTCGTCTCTACGGCAGGGTCTCCTAAGCTGAGAAGGAGTCCGGCGTTTCCATCAGAAAGCCTAGCTATGGTATCAAAGTCGCATAGTGGCAAATCTCCCTCTGATCCATAACGGTTGCGATTGCCTGTGGTGGCGAAGACCTGGGACTGGTTTTGGCCAGGCTGACCTAGGGATTCCAGGGAACCACGATGGCTTAGCCAGCTTGTCTACGAAGAATGGTAGGGCCCGCACAACCAATGAGAACGGGCCATTCAAGTATAAAGTAGCAGGTATATAAGCATGCATCAATCAGCAAGTTTACAAGTATAGAGATTAATTCCCAAAATGGTTCTTGCCCCGATGAGTTAGATGACGGTGTGATTGTTTAAGAAACTAAAGGAAAGTGAGTTAAAGAAAGTGTTTTGTAGTGGAGAACCTTCCGTACTAACAATCACGAGCAGATTTCATGAAAAACTCAAAGATACGAAAACAGGAAATCTCACTTAGCCATGTGTTGTATGTCATTACTATCAACATTAGCCAGTATGCTAGAACAAGCTGCACGACATAGAGAAACGCTTCAAGGAGACGCATCGAAGAACATGCATGCGCGTGAGTGAAAGGGCTATAAAAATCCTTGACATTTGGCATAACTTTCAATAGAAATATTACTCAACAAAACAGATGGAGAACAAGCAATCTAGTATTAATTTAATGACATTTCAAAGTGAAATATGCAAAGAAAACTTCCAAAAATTAAGTGGAATGAGAAGAGATGCCTGTAGACCACGCCAGAGTGTCTGCACATTTTGAAAAAATGTGAAGTAATTCCCCATAATAAAACAACATAAGGACGAATTGGAAGAATGATCACTAGTTACTCACTTCGATAAATGTTATCCATATTTGTCCAAGTGAGTAACTAGTGATTATTCTTCCATTCCAATCCGTCATTATGTTGTTTTATTATGAGGAAATGCTTCGCATTTTTTAAAGGTAGATAACCCACCTTCTAAAATACTCCAGGTCTCAGGAGGTCTTTAATTTGTTTCTTTTTTGTGCAATCTTCGTCAACAGTGGTGGTCAGCCTACAATATGCTGACGTCCACGACACCCTTTCCGTAATCCTAAAAGCGTTTCCATCTGTGAACGCAGGTGTATGACGTTATCCACAAAGAGCATCGTGTGCTCGTTCGAGAAAGCTCATGGATTCACTCCATTGTTCTTTTCGTCTGTTTGTCACCTGTCCTTCATATTATATGACCTCCGCATCTGTGGTTTGTTACCGATGTACATTCTCCTGGATCTCTACAATGAGATATACTTCGAAAATCAGAACTCCGCGCTACGGCTAGAGGTTGTGAGCGGTTGAATATCAGAAGTTGTTCAAAGGCTCTGTAGGTAGTGCGCAGAAATCTTGACGTTGTTGAAGCATCAATCCACGTCTCCGATGCGTAATATAGTGTTGGAAGGATCTTCTTTGACAGCCTTGAATGCGACCCATGTTGCTGTACTCCTTCTATCGAATTACTCCTGCATGTTGTTGTCCATGTCCATTGAACTTCCAAACTGCACGCACAAGGTGGTCTCTGTAACCAGTAAACCCATCAGTTCAATTTGTTCACCTTCGCACAACGCGTTTTTCATAAACTGAGACCTTATAATATTTATGCGTATTCAAATCTTGAGTCGGTTTCGCCGTTATCACTGAAAATCGCCTCTGCTTCACCGGTAGCCTTCGAGTACCTGGTGATGTAGTCAGCAAAACAAAACTTTGACAGGAATTCGTCATTAATGCTTATGCCCTTCTCGTACCTGTCGAACAACTACAATAGTCACTGCAGTGTGAATATAAACAGTTTTGGCGAGATAGTAGTGTCACCTTGTCGAACATCTTTTGGCTAACCTTCCCGCGTTGGGTTACCATGTGCTAAGTTCTCAACTGGTTTGGGATTTCCTTCACATGTCATATAAGTTGTGAGAAGTACATGTACCTTGTGACCTCCAGCTCGAATGAAGTTGGCGATGATCATGTGTTGTCGTGGAGCTGGTGTCTATCTTCATTATGCTTTCTATCACAATTCGAAACAGAGAGAGTAGTACCCCGAAAGGTTTTTCTCCACCAGAGATGTCAGGCTATCAGGCAGGGATTGTGGAACGGAAAAGATCGGTATAGACCTTTTTCTTTATCAATGCCATAAATATTGAGATGTGATCATAGTCCTATCTCCTTTCATTAGCGATGATAGCGGAACATAGTAGTCGCACAGATCCCGACGGCACTTCTTCAAAGTAGACAGTTTCTTGGCTCTATCAATAAAATTTTGTGCCTATACCGATGTAAATCCTCCTGCAAATATATTCGACAGATGGTATACATTATCACCGTACTAGAAGTGTTGTATTATGATCAACCCCCAGTTTTCTTCTCTTTTCGAGCAACTACTTAGTGGTAGTAAAGGCGTGGTCCGAACTTCCCGTATGAGGAACTGAGGCGAGTTTTGCACAAGTTCCAAGTCCTTAGAAAAAGAGTTTATAATCCTCGGTTAGGTCCTCTTTTATGCACCAGTCATATAAAAAAACTTGGCTGAGAACATCTACATAATGCACGACTTGTACCGCTTTTCTCGGATGACGACATGAGTGAAGAGTGCTTTTCCAGCATATAGCTGAACTGAGTTTTCGTAAGTAGTTGGTGATCAAATCCAGTACAGAACTGAGGTACCAATAAATTGTCTAAGAGGCATTATTTTCTGTCAATGAGAATGCGCTCGACTTTCACATGAGTCCTGCCGTTAGGAGATTCCCATGTCTATCAACGATTTTCTCTGTTCTCGAAAAAAAGAATGTCCAAGGAAAAAAGAGATGTGCTGCGGATAGGAGTACTAAAAGATGGTTTCCACTCGCATTTAAATCTCCCATTCCAAACTTCCTATCCTGAATTAATTTTTGTTGGTTGTCTCTAATCTAGTAATGACGTCTCCAATAACGAACTTATAGGACCTTCGGTTGTGAATTACTCCATCCAAACGGTGGTAGAACGTGTCCAGTTCGCACTCATCAGCTGCATATGTTTGTGAATAGCAGACGATGATAACGACCTTCTTCTGACGCGGATGATAGGGGCAAAGAATGAGCAGGTGAGACGACAGAATTTCATATTAGGCGACCTGATAGGAAACACATGGTATATGACAAATCTGATGTCAACAACATTCCATTTCGTTAGCCTTTTTATTTTCTACTTCTCACCTCTTATAGGGCGGTCATGTTGAATTAGATGCGATGTCAGTGGTGGTAAGAAGAGCGTAAAGATCGGCGCTTGACAAGGCCCTCATAGCGTTAGTGGCACAGAGCAAGAAGCAGTCTCCATGGCATGTCGTGGGCGGCTTCGTTTGGCAACATTTCAATGATGCCCTATGCAAGCCCGTATTCGATCGCCTTCTTCGGTTCTCCCACCACCCGACGTCGCAAGCGGAGCACGCAGTGTAGTCCCGAAGCCAGCCACGCAAGTGGTTGTCACAATAAGCCGCGGTTGGCCCCGCGGATTAAAGGGATGCTTGCTACCGTGCGACTGAATGACACCAGAACGGAGGTGATTCCCGGTATTGGCTTACTCCTAACTGAGCTTCCAGGTAAAAACGTCGAAGCTTGGAAGACATCGCCGGTGGAAAACGCTGGATGAAAACCAATGATGATGAATGCACAGAGAATGTGGATAAAGTGTTTAAAGTATCCAGCCCTATTCTTGGTCACTTTCCTATGAATACCAAAGATTTAAAGTAGAAATAATGAATGAATCACCTGCCATGGCGATTATGACACCTTGCAGTAGCTGTGGGCGGAGTTGTCGTTGGATTATAAACATTGTCGCTTAAGTGGACCCGGTCAACATCATTTTCTAGCGGAGCCTTAACACCAATGAAAACATTGAAGTTATTGAAATTGTTAAGAATCAGCACTTCTTGAAAAAATGCATATTGATTGTTCATTGCTAAACTTAATTTTAGAGAGAAAAGAGCTTGAATTCCATTTAAAAACATGTTTTGAAAACATCATCACTGTATCAGACAACATATCACCGTTGACTTTCCATTGGCGCTAGAATTTTTCCCTCACTAATCATTCTGACAAATATAAGAGAAGATATATTCGTAAAACAGTGGGTTAGCTTGAAAACAGACATTAAAGCAAGACGACGCAGCGTTTTGAAAACAGGCATTAAAGCAAGACGACGCAGTTAAAATCAGGACAGAAGGACTTGAAGTACTTTATCGAAAGATATCTTCCGAAGACGGATTCCGCTTTCGTTAGAAACGAACTCGCTCGTAGAACTGATCATTTGCAGGTACACACGAAACCATTTGATACCCTCGTATATTGCACCCATAACGAAGATCGCAATAAACGATAGTATAAGCCCTAAAGATATTGAAGCGAAAAAGCACAAAAATTTTCAAAAACTTAAAAAGTAGACCTGGAAAATTGGGAACTCACCTGAAAAAGAACTGATGCGCCAGAATTCAAATAATATCACTTCATCCCATCCTCCATGAAACCACATTTTCATTTCGTGACCACTGTGGCTAGCACGGCTGGCTTGGCTGTGTAAGGAATGGTCATGAAGGCCTGAAACGAATACTGTTCTGACTTCTTGAAATTTGTAGCCATTGGAAGTATGACAAAATTTATAATAAGGCAATTTGGAGATAAGTAAAGCCGCAATGCCTCTTTCTACGTTGAGAACGAAGGATTCTTACGGATACGTCTTCGTAGTAAATTTCGAACTCCAATTCCTGTAAGGAACTTAGGTTTCACCTCGTCTCCATTTTCTTTCCTGACTGCAAGAAAAACGACAACGGTTCCCAACATGAGGTCTTCCAAAATTATCTGCGGTTTTTAAACCGTCATATGAGTCATCCACTACAAAGTACGTTAGCTTCAACACATGTATGTTCCAAAGTTCAGCATTAAACTATCATATCTAATCTTATAGTAGAGCTTATTGAAGAATGAAAATAAACAGAATTTCGCCATCTTCGGTAACAAAACAGAGGCCATCGAACAAGTGGAATCCCGCCCTACACGACATAATTACATGGCCAGATGCATCGTTTCCAGCTGCCACTTATAAATTTTTAAGGATTTAATCGACCGCCATCCTCGTACCAAATTAGTTGCATTGTGGCAAATCTCCCCCTGACCCACAAGGGCTGCAACTACCCGTATTGGTGACGAGCTAGGTCAGACCTTTGACCAGTCTTTCCTCTTCCTTGACCGTATAATTATCCAAGTATCCAAGCATGTAAGCATTTCTAGCTCTTGTTATTCCATTAATTTGGATTATTAGACACTGAAGCAATAACAGATTCCTCGCGATGTCAAACATATTGCAGGATTACCGACCCGAAGGTCGGAGTTCTACACGGGAAGCCTGGAAGAAAGGTATGATTTTCAACGTGTCCCTAGAGCGAGCAGAACCCATTTTTCCCTCTTGCATGCAACAGGGAAAAATGGAAGATTCAGTGGCGCCCGCTCGAGTCACACGACGATCAACGGGCAACAGGTGATACAGGTGACGCAATAACATACCAAAACTTGTGGCAAGCAGTTTAAACTTATAACTATATGACGTCTGATTAGACGTATAATGGATAAATAAACTTGCATTCAGATGCTGAATCACGACGGAAAAAATAGGAGATTTTACGAATCAGAACTTAAGTTTTAGAAAAAGGCCCTTACCACTGTGAGAGTGATGATGCTGCCGGCTCGCCGTCGATGCATTCTCCATTTCTTCCATGAACGTGTTTATGTCAGTTAGAACAGAACCCCCCATACCTGCAGAAGATCACAGCTTCGACTGACAAGTAGAACCTAGAGGAATAATGTACCTTCCACCTGAGATAACAAAAGCAAAAAACGAGCAAAATGCGCTGCCTATCGAAGAAAAACTGTTGATCACTACTTTTATGCATCTGTAAACAGGAGTCAGCAAGCGCAAAGATAGTTTTCTCCGAAAACTATACTAACAATAATGATACTGATATATTTGCAAAACTCAGGACGGCAGGTGTCTACGGTGGGAAACGAACGTGTTATTACCGCTTCCGGGGCTAACGTGTTTACCATCACACCATGCATGTCCTTCGTTTCTGCATTATCTTAGTAAGTTTTTTATCTACCAGTGCCATCAGCAATCACCCGTCTGCGGGATTGACCTGAGGTGCACAAGTCAGAACTGAACCCAGGGTTAACATATACTAACATTATTAAACAAACAATGGATACTTCTGGATAAGTTTCCAGTCACTAGTGGAACTTCAAAAAGGCAAGACTGTACACCATACAAAAATCGACAGACTATGGAAAACTGGACTCGTACACAGCAACACGAACAGCGCCGTATTATCAAGGTAGCCGTGGCCTTGCATACCTTCCGTGTAATCGCGGACACACGCCTTAGACGTATGTCTAATGCATAGATTGCCACCGTCGTATAGATGGCCTTGGATTGTCGGTAGGATCGGCGCTGCTGCCATATGCTAACCGTAATTCCATCTATGTACAAATTATTAGCTTTAAACCGCACCTAGTTGCGTTAAGAACCACTACATGCAATTTCCATGACCAACTTTCTTTTAACCTTACCATTGATTGATAATTCGATGTTTTTCTTCAATATGCAGATACGAGATTGTTATTATAGAATTTATTAGGATACGATAGCTGACGCTTCGGCGGTTTCGCCTTCTTCAGAGCCTGAAAGGTCAAATTGAGATGCGATCTACCCAGCCAAACACTTTCATAACCTCAACAGATAAAATTTAACAAATAGATTTCTATTCGCATAAGAAACAGCTTCATTTAAACACCTACCGTTTATTTGTTGTAAGTATTTAAGTTAGTTGATGGATAGCAGCTGCACAGAGTAATACATGGGCGAGGACTGTGCCTGTGTCAGGTCATTGGATTAGCCTGAGGTATGGCGCCAGGTCGCGCGTGATGACGAGACACTCCTCCTTGCGGTTCATTTTTGAATTGATCCAAAACGCTTCAAGAGTTTTTACGCGCTGATGTTTTTGATTCGTCCGTGAGGATAGTGATCACTCACTATTATATTAATAAGCGCCGGTCCAGAGAATTCCGTAAGAGTGATAGAAATACCATCCGACACTCTAAGACACCAGCTAGTTCGCAACCGCCTATATGACCGTCTATGTATAACGAAAAACTGCTTAATTTGCCCTAACGGTAGAGACGGTGATTGCATGAGTTCGGGTACAGTCTATCTGATCTCTTGTAAAGCGTGCGGGGAGAATACGTTGGCGAAACGGGCAGACCGCTCTGCGTCCGCATAAAAGAACACCTAGTCGGTAAATCTAAATTAAAACCAAACACTCCACTAGGCGCGCATAGGATGCAGGAACACAACGGAGAAGATTTTGAAGTAGGAGTCACTATACTCGCACAGGAATCCAAGGCATCAGCGCGTAAAACTCTTGAAGCGTTTTGGATGAATTCGAAAAATTCAAAAATGAACCGCAAGGAGGAGTGTCTTGTCATCACGCGTGACCTGGCGCCACACTTCAGGCTAATCCAGTGACCTGACACAGGCACAGCCCTCGTCCATGTATTACTCTGTACGGCTGCTATCCATCAACTAACTTAAATACTTACAACAAATAAACGGTAAGTGTTTAAATGAAGCTGTTTCTTATGCGAATGCAAATTTATTTGTTAAGTTTAATCTGCTGGGGTTATGAAAGTGAGTGGCTGGGTAGATCGAATCTCAATTTGACCGGCGAAACGTCAGCTATTGTATCCTAATAAATTCTATAATAACAACCTCGTATCTGCTTATTGAAGAGAAACATCGAACCACTACATGGTTTCGTAAACTATTTGGTCAGGGTGACGCTACAGAACGGAGCATGTGACTTACTAAAAAAGGAATGTAGTTAGTTTTCTCGACCAGAGTTACCCGAATGCTTGGATACCTGAGTGGACTAGGTGGTCGCACTTTCTTTCTGTTTGATTGATATCTAGAATGCACGTTAACGCAAGGAATACCGGGAAGTTGAAGAAATGGATGCTTAGACCGGTGTTTCTAGACTTCGTCACTACTTCTTCAACACCTTAGTCTTTCTACCTGTTTCCGCTTGGTTAGCTCTGCTGTTCAGGTTAGTTCGAGTAGGACTTGAGCACGAGTACGTTTCTCATGAGCTTTTGCTTCTTTTAATTCAATCGAAAAATAGTGTTTCCTTACCAACCAGCGGAATTGGCTAGGATTCGTTTTGCCTCAACAGCTCTACGTGCAAAACCGCCTCATGGTTTACTGCCTCATCGTGGTTGAGAGGTGTTCCTGGGCATCGGACTGCAATGTTCAATAGTGGTAATCATCTCCCAAGCAGGGCCCCAATGTTGAACAGGAGTCCGTCGTTTCTACCAGGAATCCCACTTAAGAATAAACCAATACCGGGGTCCACCACCGTCCTGGTATCAAAGTATTTGTATGATGGCAAATCTGCTTCTGCTCCACAAGTGGGGCGACTGTCTATGGAGGTGACGATCCTAGCTGATCTCGGGTCTCCATGGAACCACAATGGCTAAACCAGCAATACTCTGTAAAGATGGAAGCTATACGGGAGCTGGAGCTGTCACAACCAGTGAAGACGAGCCATGTTGGAACGGCTCGCTGTTATATGAATACCAAGTGATTAAGAAGACTTAGTCGGATTAGCTGCTCTCCTTTGCTCGTGCCATGCGGGGTTCTTCATGATCGACAGTCACGATACTGGGCACCTCAAACTTGGGTGGCTGAACATCTATATTTGTACATATTATTTACACAATAACGCAATGAGATTATAAATGCATGTACAACATAAGTTGCGTAATATGGAGGCCGGTGTGACGTCGTTAATGAGATGCTCATAACGCCACTGAGCCTGCTACAGTACCCTCATGCTGCTTACTGAGAGGGAAGGTAATGCATAAGAGGCTAGATACAGATGATGGAGAGCCGTAGGCTGAGGGAGTGCAGCGGTGTATAATTGTAATGAAGAGTACACTAGCGCCATAAGAAGAGTGGTTAGCACGTTAGGATGCACATGTGAGTTTGTGATATTGTAAAATGGTGATAACAATGTGATGAGGAAATGAGTAGTTAACTTAATACTGATTGTGTAATAATATTTCTACAATTATAAAAAAGTTAAGATTTACATGCTCACAGTACAAGAATGTGAATAACGGCTACGAGAATGCTTTAGAAATAGGAATGGAGAATTGTTGGATAGAGTACCTGTGAGCGATAAAGGCATTTACCAAAAACTGTTACATTAACAACACGCAGTAATTACAAGAGAATCTATGACAACATTAATGCATTGGAAATGCGTGAGCTACAGATTTTACTTAACATTATTTGTGCCTATGTGGATCAATGGAGCTGTGAATGCAAAGACTATGCGGGTGAGCAAATTAATGATGAGGAAAGGGCAGCGGTGAGCTCCAAAGCGTCGACAGAAGCCAAATGGCCGTGCTAAGAGGCGCGGCTAGATCCCAGCGAGTGGCATGGGTCGCGGGGTCACGGCACGGGTTACAAGGTCTCGCCTCTAAGCAATGCGTTGTGCCTGGTATTATACCCGCTGGTGTGCCTGATGGTTATAGTTGCCGTATTTGCAGGCGTGCCCAATGCCCAGGATGGGCTATGAATGTAGGGCACTCAACACCATCAAAGCACATAAAGAATAAAGTTGTAAGAGAGAACATTTTCTATTAGATAATGTCTATTTGGTCGACTTGTCGACAGGCCATCCTAGTATTCAAGTATCCAAGTTTTGCGTACTCTCCCTCACCAGTGAAGCTGAGACACTACTATGGGTCGAGTTTATTTCGATTTCTTACCGTTCCAGATTCACCGCGATCTTTGTAAGAACGGAGTTTTCAAAGGGTGGAGACTCTCGCCATAACTGATTAGAATTCACAGCCATGCTGACACTTTCTCCTATCTCAACATTGCTCTCGGGCAAACCGAATTTTAAAAGGATAACCATTTGAGGAATATATTGTCTCACCTTTACGCCATGAGCACAGATTGGCTTGATTCTCAAAGAAGTTTAGGTAGTTACCACCTTGGTCTTGTAATCGGCAAAGTCTTTGAAAACGCTGTGTTTACGCTTTGGAGCTTCACCTAGTGATTCCAATACGGCTTCATGTTCTCTTTCAAGCCTGTCTACCAAGGTCTTTTCAACCCCAGGTACGTGATCACACTTCTCTGCCGCTAGTGCACCTCTACAGTGATGTATAGGTCGATTATATGCAGATTTTCACAAGGCAGATATTTGTATATACCGCAGTCGCCTGCTGTCCCGAGTTTTGGTCTATACCGAATGCATTATTGTTTTATCATGAACATCGAAATATGTCGGAATTTCTTATTTATTAAATATCACAAAACAATGTCAACGCTACCAGTTGTGTCTGAAGGTTAGCACACGGTGACAAATTTTTTTCAGATGAGTTGCGTTATACATATTACATGCATGCACACCAAGTAAAATGTAATACGTCTTAAATTCCCACAAATTAATAGTAGAGTACCTAAAGGTATCTTGCATCGAGCAATAAAGCCAATAAGGAACAATGCTGACCAACTCACCATAACGAGAAGGCTTTGCACGAAGGCACGGTGCTCCCTGCATTTTCCAGTATTAAATGAGATACACCTTACAGTTTCTATCCAACTGTTACCTACTAGTGATACTGATGTTGATAACGTCCATTAACCGAACACTTTAAAACGACAGTAGTTCTCATAAGTGACAAATACTAATAAAAACAGATCGTTGTAGGTCAATGTATGCCGCGCCAGAGTTTTTCAAAATATTAAAAAATATTAATAGTAAAATAGAAACAAAATAATACGAAAGGGAGTTCTGGTTGTTCACACAATATGAGAAAGAAAAGTCGTAAACTTTAGGGATTTGGCTAGCACTTCAGCGGATATGTAACATTAATAAAGTGTTGGTTTTTTAGGTGATAATGGGCATTTTGTGACCTCTTAATTAAGTTCGAGCGAAAACAGATTCCTTGTATCTAAAAACTCACTCCCAAGTCCGACTTTCTATTAACCTCGGCATTGATTGAATATATCTTTCTACTTCTGTTCAGCAAGCACGGGCTGCTATTTTATTTCTTTATATACGCACAAGCTGACGTTTCGGCGGATTTCGCCTTCCTCAGAACCTGGAAACGTCAAGTTGACAACAATCTACACGGCCAAACACCTCCATATCCAAACAGAAAAAATGCTGAACCAAAATTTCAATCACATTGAACACAGAGTCTTTGCACACTCACCGCTTTCTATGAGCCTTCCACTAAATATGTCACGTGAAGACCAATCGAACAGAGTTCACACGGAATCGTATTGTGCCCATCTCATCAAAATAACAGGCTTGTATACTGCCCAATATCACGCGTGATAATGAGGCATTCCTCCCTGCGGCTCAGTTTCGGATTCCTGGAAATAATC